TGATGTTCAGGGCAACGAGCAGTTGGGTCCTTAGTTATGTTTATGTTCAGGGCAACGAGCAGTTACTCCGCTGCTTTGTGAGCAGTACATGCCCTCCCAGTTTCGTATAGAGATATTCCATTCTCAAGATTATTTTACTGTAATCTCTAACCACCTTCGCAACCGTTGGCAACAACGTTGGGCCGATATGACTCGTGACAAATTACATTCTATCAAAGCAAGTTTAAGTTTTTGGTCTACTAGTTGTCATTGTTGCCGAAGTTGGGAGACTACGCTCTCGTGTTCCCATCGGGCACACCCGTCTTACTCATGGGTATCTCAAGCAGAGGCACCCTGTTCCACTCTGTAAGAACTGTCTGGTTCCAATTTCGGTTTGCCATGTTCTATTGGACTGTTCTTTCAACGAGCACGCAGAATTTTCCTCCGACGTCGTCACCTCTCTAATGCCCTTACTTTATCTTCCCTCCTTACTGACGGCCCCACCTTTGACACAGACTCCGTTTGACGGATTGACAGCAACCGATTTATTACACAAATTTTGATAATACTTCCTTTAGCACTCCTCAAACCCTTTCTAACTCGACTGTTGTGATGATGTTGCATAAGTGTCTCAATCTTCAACTCTACTGTTATCCTCTCCACCCTTGTTGCTCTCTGCTCCAGCAACACCCACCCTTCTCTCTGACCCTCCTGCGCTGTATAACCCTAGTGGGTTTACCTCTTCTTTTTTTTATTATAACAAGCTGGACTAGGAGTCGCCTGACTATTCTTAAGCTGGACTAGGAGTCGCCTGACTATTCTTAAGCTGGACTAGGAGTCGCCTGACTATTCTTAAGCTGGACTAGGAGTCGCCTGACTATTCTTAAGCTGGACTAGGAGTCGCCTGACTATTCTTAAGCTGGACTAGGAGTCGCCTGACTATTCTTAAGCTGGACTAGGAATCGCCTGACTATTCTTAAGCTGGACTAGGAGTCGCCTGACTATTCTTAAGCTGGACTAGGAGTCGCCTGACTATTCTTAAGCTGATAAATAAGGCACATGTGCAGCACTTGGGTATCTTTATTGAGGAAACGTTTCGCCACACAGTGCTTTCATCAGTCCATACAAAGGAGAACGGGGAAGAACAGGAGTTTGAGGTTTACCTGGAGTTTACCTGGAGAGAGTTCCGGGGGTCAACGCCCCCGCGGCCCGGTCTGAGACCAGGCCTCCTGGTGGATCAGAGCCTGATCAGCCAGGCTGTTGCTGCTGGCTGCACGCAAACCAACATACGAGCCACAGCCCGGCTGATCCGGAACTGACTTTAGGTGCTTGTCCAGTGCCAGCTTGAAGACTGCCAGGGGTCTGTTGGTAATCCCCCTTATGTGTGCTGGGAGGCAGTTGAACAGTCTCGGGCCCCTGACACTTATTGTATGGTCTCTTAACGTGCTAGTGACACCCCTGCTTTTCATTGGGGGGATGGTGCATCGTCTGCCAACTCTTTTGCTTTCGTAGTGGGTGATTTTCGTGTGCAAGTTCGGTACTAGTCCCTCTAGGATTTTCCAGGTGTATATAATCATGTATCTCTCCCTCCTGCGTTCCAGGGAATACAGGTTTAGGAACCTCAAGCGCTCCCAATAATTGAGGTGTTTTATCTCCGTTATGCGCGCCGTGAAAGTTCTCTGTACATTTTCTAGGTCGGCAATTTCACCTGCCTTGAAAGGTGCTGTTAGTGTGCAGCAATATTCCAGCCTAGATAGAACAAGTGACCTGAAGAGTGTCATCATGGGCTTGGCCTCCCTAGTTTTGAAGGTTCTCATTATCCATCCTGTCATTTTTCTAGCAGATGCGATTGATACAGTGTTATGGTCCTTGAAGGTGAGATCCTCCGACATGATCACTCCCAGGTCTTTGACGTTGGTGTTTCGCTCTATTTTGTGGCCAGAATTTGTTTTGTACTCTGATGAAGATTTAATTTCCTCATGTTTACCATATCTGAGTAATTGAAATTTCTCATCGTTGAACTTCATATTGTTTTCTGCAGCCCACTGAAAGATTTGGTTGATGTCTGCCTGGAGCTTTGCAGTGTCTGCAATGGAAGACACTGTCATGCAGATTCGGGTGTCATCTGCAAAGGAAGACACGGTGCTGTGGCTGACATCCTTGTCTATGTCGGATATAAGGATGAGGAACAAGATGGGAGCGAGTACTGTGCCTTGTGGAACAGAGCTTTTCACCGTAGCTGCCTCGGACTTTACTCTGTTGACGACTACTCTCTGTGTTCTGTTAGTGAGGAAATTATAGATCCATCGACCGACTTTTCCTGTTATTCCTTTAGCACGCATTTTGTGCGCTATTACGCCATGGTCACACTTGTCGAAGGCTTTTGCAAAGTCTGTATATATTACATCTGCATTCTTTTTGTCTTCTAGTGCAATTAGGACCTTGTCGTAGTGGTCCAATAGTTGAGACAGACAGGAGCGACCTGTTCTAAACCCATGTTGCCCTGGGTTGTGTAACTGATGGGTTTCTAGATGCGTGGTGATCTTGCTTCTTAGGACCCTTTCAAAGATTTTTATGATATGGGATGTTAGTGCTATTGGTCTGTAGTTCTTTGCTGTTGCTTTACTGCCCCCTTTGTGGAGTGGGGCTATGTCTGTTGTTTTTAGTAACTGTGGGACGACCCCCGTGTCCATGCTCCCTCTCCATAGGATGGAAAAGGCTCGTGATAGGGGCTTCTTGCAGTTCTTGATGAACACAGAGTTCCATGAGTCTGGCCCTGGGGCAGAGTGCATGGGCATGTCATTTATCGCCTGTTCGAAGTCATTTGGCGTCAGGATAACATCGGATAGGCTTGTGTTAATCAAATTTTGTGGCTCTCTCATAAAAAAATCATTTTGATCTTCGACTCTCAGTCTGGTTAGCGGCTTGCTAAAAACTGAGTCATATTGGGACTTGAGTAGCTCACTCATTTCCTTGTTGTCATCTGTGTAGGACCCATCTTGTTTAAGTAGGGGCCCAATACTGGACGTTGTTCTCGATTTTGATTTGGCATAGGAGAAGAAATACTTTGGGTTTCTTTCGATTTCATTTATGGCTTTTAGTTCTTCCCGCGATTCCTGACTCCTAAAGGATTCTTTTAGCTTAAGTTCGATGCTTGCTATTTCTCTGACCAGTGTCTCCCTACGCATTTCAGATATATTGACCTCTTTTAGCCGCTCTGTTATTCTTTTCCGTCGCCTGTAAAGGGAGCGCCTGTCTCTTTCTGTTTTACATCTACTCCTCCTTTTTCTTAGAGGAATAAGCCTTGTGCATACATCGAGTGCTACCGAGTTAATCTGTTCTAGGCATAAGTTGGGGTCTGTGTTGCTTAGTATATCTTCCCAGCTTATATCGGTTAGGACTTGGTTTACTTGGTCCCACTTTATGTTTTTGTTATTGAAGTTGAATTTGGTGAATGCTCCCTCGTGACTAATCTCATTATGTTGGTCTGGGGCTCCGCGCATACATGACTGAACCTCAATTATGTTGTGATCTGAGTATATTGTTTTGATATGGTGATATTTCTTATCAGATCATCATTGTTAGTGAAGATGAGGTCTAGTGTATTCTCCAGTCTAGTAGGCTCTATTATTTGCTGGTTTAAATTGAATTTTGTGCAGAGATTTAAAAGCTCGCGTGAGTGTGAGTTTTCATCAGAGCTGCCTCCTGGTGTTATTACTGCAACAATATTATTTGCTATATTCCTCCATTTTAGGTGCCTTAAGTTGAAATCCCCCAGGAGCAAGATGTTGGGTGCAGGAGCTGGAAGGTTTTCCAGACAGTGGTCAATTTTTAACAGCTGTTCCTGGAATTGCTGGGATGTTGCATCCGGAGGCTTGTAGACTATCACAATGACTAGGTTTTGGTTCTCGACCTTTACTGCTAAAACTTCCACTACATCATTTGAGGCATTTAGCAGTTCTGTGCAAACAAGTGACTCTGCAATGTACAGGCCAACCCCCCCCTTTTGCCTGTTCACTCTGTCACATCTGTATAGGTTGTAACCTGGGATCCATATTTCGTTGTCCAAGTGATCCTTTATGTGGGTCTCAGTGAAAGCCGCGAACATTGCCTTTGCCTCTGCAAGCAGTCCACGGATGAAAGGTATTTTGTTGTTTGTTGCTGGCTTTAGACCCTGTATATTTGCAAAGAAGAATGTTATCGGACTGGTGGTATTGTTGGTACTGGGTAATCAGTCCCTCAGCCTTGAGTCGATGTGGTCAGTCCATCAGTCTTGAAAAGAATACGGCATATGTGCGAAGAAGTAGCTTATATACCGTAGGCAGGAGAGGTGCAGCAGTCGTAGGTGCAGCAGTCGTAGGTGCAGCAGTCGTAGGTGCAGCAGTCGTAGGTGGTATCACATTTGTCCAATGTGGAAGTAGGTCATACCAAAGGGTTAGGCAAGTGAAGAATTCCCTGTATTAAGATACCAAGACGCTGCAGTGTCAGACAGGAATGTAGATGAATGGCTCAGAGAACCGACAGTACACTAGTTGATGGGGTGAAGAGTTTTCACCTATGTAATTATATATGGCTGCATGACCCTTGTAGGTTTAACACTCCGTTTTGATTACAATATGTATTTATATACATATCTCTGATTTCACAAAAGTTAAACATTTATATGACTGATAATTCACAGTAACGCAAGTTTGAGCCAAGTTATAAGTCTATGACTAGGTTGACCCTTGTAGGTTTAGCTCTTAGTTCTGATTGTAAAAATAGTAACATGACTAGGCTAGATTTTTTTTAATGCCATGGATGTATTCATTATGAGGGGAAGTTCCTAAATGAAGGAAAAGGGCTCTTGATCCAAGCTAGTGGAGCTACAAACCATTTTTGTCGAATCAGAATTGATTACCCTCAATCCTATTACCAAGGAGCTATGTGTATTACCTTTAGGGTTTAGCGCTTCCCGATAATGGAATTCAGACATGCATTTTATAAAGTATTTTTTTTTGTTTGGTAAATAAAGTCAAAAATTCATTAGCATTATATATTTGTTGTGTTGTAATACATAAGCAGCGTTGTGCTACTACTTATACAGTAACATGAATAACCAATTGTTAATTGAATGAAGGATTCATAACGAATAGAATATTGAGTTGGCGGACTGACGAGTCTAGAGGAACGTGCAACAGCAGGTGTTGATGGTTGTTAATGTTGAGAGGAACGTGCAACAGCAGGTGTTGATGGTTGTTAATGTTGAGAGCAGAGTCCTGCTTGATGCAAGACACACGTGTCACCAAAGTTTGCTGATAATATTATCCTAGCCATGAGAGCAAAGGTGTTGGCTGCTACATAAGTCTAAGCATGACAGTAAAAGTGTCAGCCGCTACACAAGCCTAGGCATGATAGCAAAGGTGTCAGGGTTACACAAGCCCAGGCATGTCAGCAAAAGTGTCAGCTGCTGAGGTATTATAAATTTAGGAATAGTTTCCTCAGCACATTGAATTGATCTGGGAATTTGGTGCTGACTTGGTCAAGGACATCATTGTAGGTTTTCTTCTGAGTGTCATCACAGAGACCACAGTGATCCCTCACAAGCTGTGGGAACTCCTCTGTGGGGAAAACAAATTCATTATTAATTCAATATCATATCCAGTAGCTTAAACAAATTACTGAACAGTGTTTTATATATTTTAGTTGATACATTCTTTTAATTTATTCAAATTATTTGATATGTAATTTATCTTTTTCTTAAAATTTACCTGTTTTAGTAAACTTAGCAAAATGGAGACTGTAAGAGGCAATTAAAATAATTAGTTTCAGTAATAGTGTCAGTGAGAAGTGTCAAGTGTCCCTGAAAGTCTTAATATATATCTTCATGACTGTCCAGTTCAGACACCATCTTCAACACTGTCAAACTTACTGTCCTTCCTCTGATGCTAGATCTTACCTTTAATGCAGACACTCTATATTTCTTAACCAATCTTTTCCCGTCTACCATCTCTTCCTACCTCTAATGTGTACCTTTCAGTTATCCATACAGGCTTAGTGCTGTCCTTGAATATAATATCTGCCAGGAGTCATTGGTACCGGAGAATTATTACAATCGAAACTAAGTGCTAAACCCATAAGGGTCATGCAGTGCTGCAGGATCGGATGTGTTAAAGATGAAATGTGTGAAGATCAGAAACCAACGAGGGTTAGGAGTATGCAAGAGTCAGTAAGGATAGTGGGGAGCGCTGACTACAAAATATTATCATAGTTGGTATAATAAAGCAGTTGCTAACAAAAAGTCAAGAGTCTACATTAAAGTTGGAGCTGTCAGCGAGGAGGCCAGATAAAGTAAGGGCGGTGACTACACCGGAGGTAAGTTCTGCGTGCCGTCTGATAGACAGGACAGTCAAGGTACTGGAGGAAGGAGCACAGGTTGTCAGGGCATTCTTCCACAGTGGTTTTTTTTTAGGCCGGAATCTAAAGGCATTTGTCGTGAAGATTTCTTTGTTACATGGGAATGAAAATTTTCAAAAAATGCAAGCGAGAGGTACAAAGCTACCAACTCTATGGGCAAAATGAATATTAGTTGTAAATACCTGAAGGTACTTGCACGTCCTGCAAATGAGATACAGCCTTTGAAGGAAACTGATGAATACGGAAAGTGTTTCAGTTTTTTTTTTTCCGCCGGAGAGACATTCAAAAGAATTTGGATTTTAAATTTTAACAATTTAAGCTCAAATGTCATAGGCTTGGTTGTGTGCAGGGAAATAGTCTCCTGGGAAAATATAAATTTATACAGAATAGGTTGAGAGGTATAACTCTGGGGTACTGGTGAAGCATTTTTATAGTACGAGAGTAACTAACTTAGTGTGTTCAACACGAGTTGGCTGCACTGTGGGCCCTCCTTTTGCGGGTAACAGTTGATCATAGCATCAAGACCCTCCTGGGAAGACAGGAAGTCGATCTGTTCTGGTGTAAGTGTAGCTAGGAAGGCTGTCTTTGTATCCTGAGCCTCGGCAGCCACCACCAGCACAGCCAAAGCCGCCACTAAACACACAGCATTCTTCCTGTATAACAAAAACAGAACATATCACAATTATTAAAAGCTACCAGCACGACTCACGAAATCGTAATAACAAGACTGCAAACAAACCACGGAATAGGCGAGGTTTGAACCTAGGGTGAGGGAGTCGTAAAACTCCAGGCCAAAAGTCACTGAGCCAGCTGGCTCTGAAAAGATTCATCCAGCTGGTTGGATGAATTTTATTGTAGCCGGCTGGCCCAGTAGTTAACACACTGGCCTGGAGTTTTACGACAAACTTGCCATAGGTTCAACCCCCACCCGTTCTGTGGCTTATTAGAAGCTATATGCTAATTTTCTCTTCAAGGGTAAATATGCGTTGATGTTGGTGAAGGACTCTGGATCAAAGGAATTGGAGCTATCCTCCCCTCTTGAATCAAACCCGATTACCCTTATGCGTGACCCCCCTACGGGCTTAGCGCTTCCCCATATAACACGCAAAATTTCAATGCAATATATAAAAAAGTAAACAATGATTCAGTTTTAAAACACAAACGTTTCGCCAGCCAGTGTCTTCCTCAGTCCAATACACAGAAGAGTGCTTGAAGATCAGGAGTTTGAGGTAATCAGTCCCTCAGCCTGAAGTCTGTGATTAATATTGATGGACTGAACACATCGACTCCAGGCTGAGGGACTGATAACCTCAAACTCCTGATCTTCAACCATTCTTCTCTGCATTGGACTGAGGAAGCCACTGGCTGGAGAAACTGTTTCCACGATAGATACCCATGTAGACAGTCATTTCTGTCTGTTAGTTTCATATCACCGCTGTTCAACAGCAACAACAGTAATAACACCCAAGTGTTGCACAGGTATCTCGTTCATCATCTTGTCGGGTCTCTGAACAATAATGTTGGCATCATTACCAATAATGTGTTAAGTAAACGGACACAAGTGCAACTAATGAGACATATTCTGGCAACTTTTTGCTCTCCAGGAGCTTTATCAAGGCTTAACAAAGTTCCTGGAGAGCGAAACGTTGCCACAATAAAATGTCACATTAGTTGCACTTGTGTTCTTTTGCTTAATGTTACATTGACAAGGTATCTTTGAACTTGTCATACAACGATCATTAAGGCTTTGTGTTACCTCAGTCACCCGTCAAGGATGTTAAATACCCTAAAATGGATATTAAAATGAACTCTATAAGTACACCGAGAAACATACACGTCTCGGTGTATATATCATGTGATAGTTATTTGAATGTTACTTGGATAAATTAGGCTTTACTGCCACATGTTGGTTATCACACTTAGTGTATAATACTAGTGTATAACAGTGTACAACACTAGTGTATACCAGTGTACAACACTAGCGTATACCAGTGTACAACACTAGCGTATACCAGTGTACAACACTAGCGTATACCAGTGTACAACACTAGTGTATACCAGTGTACAACACTAGCGTATACCAGTGTACAACACTAGCGTATACCAGTGTACAACACTAGCGTATACCAGTGTACAACACTAGTGTATACCAGTGTACAACACTAGTGTATACCAGTGTACAACACTAGTGTATACTAGTGTACAACACTAGTGTATACCAGTGTACAACACTAGCGTATACCAGTGTACAACACTAGCGTATACAGTGTACAACACTAGCGTATACCAGTGTACAACACTAGTGTATACCAGTGTACAACACTAGTGTATACCAGTGTACAACACTAGTGTATACTAGTGTACAACACTAGTGTATACCAGTGTACAACACTAGCGTATACCAGTGTACAACACTAGTGTATACCAGTGTACAACACTAGTGTATACTAGTGTACAACACTAGTGTATACCAGTGTACAACACTAGCGTATACCGTGTACAACACTAGTGTATACCAGTGTACAACACTAGTGTATACCAGTGTACAACACTAGTGTATACCAGTGTACAACACTAGTGTATACTAGTGTACAACACTAGTGTATACCAGTGTACAACACTAGCGTATACCAGTGTACAACACTAGTGTATACCAGTGTACAACACTAGTGTATACCAGTGTACAACACTAGCGTATACCAGTGTACAACACTAGCGTATACCAGTGTACAACACTAGTGTATACCAGTGTACAACACTAGTGTATACCAGTGTACAACACTAGTGTATACCAGTGTACAACACTACCAACAAGTTTACCAAAGATGGATTACTGTATAACAAGGTACGCTGAGTAAATGTCAGAGTTCTTCTCAAAGTCTAGATTAAAAATATCGTCGAATATATTCTCAAAGGTCGATAAATAGGAGTTACTGTATGCAGGGGAGAGCGCTAAACCCATATGTGTCATGCAGCGCCCGGGGAATGGGTGGTAATGAGGTTCAATCCAAGGAAAAGGAGCACAGGTTCAATTCTTTGGATCAAGATCCGCTCACCGGCATCAGGGGGAGGGCAAAAAAAAAAGTGATGTAAGGCTGGCATCACTTTAAGAAGCTGTGTTATCTTGGATGTCTAAATATCACGAGATAGTGGTGAAAGCTAGGCTTATTATTATTATTATTATTGCGAAAATTTATAAGTTAATGATGTAGAAAATAAACCTTTGCTAAAGGTGTAGTTAAACTTCACTCGTCATACGAGAGATGAAATTTTCAAAGCAGAGAAGTGAGGGATAGTAAGATTGAAGCCTCAGCCTTGGCTCCTTGACCCGTCTTACTGGGTCATTGATGCGTCATCAACTGGATATACTTAAATTTCATTTAAAGTTTAACATTTTTAAAATTTCTAGCTAGTAACCTTACATGTGAGCTTTCTTCAGGCATTCTTGTTCTTAATACAACCACGATATAGCGTCGAGAAGACAATGGCAGAAAGAAAGAAGAATACTTACATTTTGCTGTTCGTCTTGATGGTGGAGTGATTCACACAACAAGATGGGATCCTCTTATATACTCGCTATCCCTAGCCTAGTTGCCAGTCTTGAGTAACCGCACTCTCACGGACCAACCTCGCTTTTTTTTTTTCACTCGATAATGAGGTGGAAATTATCTGATACCTTCACAATTTTCATATAACTAAGATACCTAGATCAATGTTCTCAGTACTTCTGGTCATCCTCACGTAAACTTTGAGTTTTAATTAGCTAACTCTGCACAAGTGTCATACCATTGCTCCTCCTCCTCTGCCTCCCATGTTCCTCTCCCGTCCCCTCCCAGGCTGGGTCACCTTTAACGTGATGTTGCAATTTTGGCGCTGCTCCCTCAGGAGGGCACAGCCTACAGCCTAACAAACCCCCCTCTCCCCCTTTCGCTTTTTTTCAGTCCTGAATAGTTGGTTCCCTGTTCCCGAGGCTTGGAAGGAGACTATTCTGGTTTCTTTTGGGGTGTTTGATCACGCAGATGGGTCCTTCAAGGTCATGGTTAGATCGTGTTAGTTACCGGAGTTCTTCATGGATGGAAACCTTCGATACAAAGAGGTGTGTATCTCTTGTGTAATAACGTTTACAGTTTGCTTTAATCTCTGATGCATCAAACTATCATCGGCAGGTTTTGTGTACAGGGGACGCGCAGCCTTGATATTAATGACCCTCTTGTAGCCGAAAAGTTTTGAAGTTTAAAGTTATGTTTCACTCGAGAAAGAAGAGCTCCTGGAGTAATAAATGCTTCATTAGTGACCCCTGTGTCCCTTTTTTAATATGCCGGCAGTTTTACCAGTATTTATACTGCAAGTACATTCGTTATCCTGGTTATGTGGGAGTTTTCCTTGACAACTTCCAAATCTCCTAATATGTGAGTGACCTTGGCTGTGTATTTCTGGAACATTGTTGTCCTTGACAGCTGCTAGGTCTTATGAACGACCCTGGCTGTGTAATACTGTAGGACTGTTGTCCTTGACAGCTGCTAGGTCGTATGTATGACCCTGGCTGTATATTACTGGAGCACATTCCCTACGTGGCGGGTCATTGTCTATGGTAGCAGTGGTCAAAAACACATTTTGGTTGCTGGTATTATAAACACTGAAATTAATTTTCTTTGATTTATATGGCGTTGCTTAATTTTTACTTATATCATTTTGTAAAAACAATAATATATATATATATATATATATATATATATATATATATATATATATATATATATATATATTAGTTTCCAAGTAAATTCACTTTAGTTTTTAATAGGTGTAACACTGGCATTTTTTTTTAAATATGATATTTTGTACTACGCTTAATATAAAAAAATACTCCTAAGCATAGTTCAATCTGTTGTCCTTATTATAGCTTAACTATAAACATCTAACTACGAGAAGTATAAGTAATAGATGTATAATGCAATAAGGTCACAGTAAACAGATGTTATCACAATATGCAAAACAACCACTGTGAAAAAATGAAATTCCAAACACACTCCTGATTCCTTACAGTGTGAGAAATCACAAACTCATGGAAATCCACTATTCTTTTCACTGTGGTTGTTCTACATGTATAATTGTCTTAATAAAATTTCAATGGTAAATCCAATATTTCAAGGTTATATACACTGTATAGCCCTTGTGGCTTAGCGCTTCTTTTTGATTATAATAAATCCAAGGTTATATTTCTTTCTTGATATTGAAATAACTATGAGTTAGGCTGTAATATATCTATGGTTTAGCTTGTCGTGTCTAGATACAGACAACACTTGGACCCGATCGAAGAGTAGGATATTCTGATACAATAGGATTTTATGGCCGTAGCATACTGTACGTTATTATAGCTACAGCCGTGCATCGCACCTGACCACATTACTGCATGCCAGCAGTAACCAGCTGCAGAGCACGATAGTTCGTCGCCTCTCCGAGAGAATGCACCAGTCGTAATAATAGGTGACTGCTAGTTGTTCTGGAGGCCTGTCTGCTAGAGTGAGGGAAGGCAGCCCCAGGGTAAAGTGCCCTGTTTCCAGGGTAACCTACCCCCAGTCTAGGGGCAGCCCCAGGGTAACCTACCCCGAGTCTAGGGGCAGCCCCAGGGTAACCTACCCCGAGTCTAGGGACAGCCTCAGGGTAACCTACCCCGAGTCTAGGGGCAGCCCCAGGGTAACCTACCCCGAGTCTAGGGGCAGCCCCAGGGTAACCTACCCCGAGTCTAGGGGCAGCCCCGGGTTAACCTACCCCGAGTCTAGGGGCAGCCCCGGGTTAACCTACCCCGAGTCTAGGGGTAGCCCCAGGGTAACCTACCCTGAGTCTAGGGGCAGCCCCAGGGTAACCTACCCTGAGTCTAGGGGCAGCCCCAGGTTAACCTATCCTGAATTAGGGGCCACCCCAGGTTAACCTACCCTGAGTCTAGGGGCAGCCCCAGGGTAAGCTACCCCGAGTCTAAACCCAGGTGTATAGAATAAAAGGTGTTTGTGGGTTATGAGTGATTAGGTTAGTGATCCAATGAAGCCAGCTCTGGAATTCAGCCCAGAAACCTGCCAACCCATTTCTAGTTACAGTGGTCACTCGTTGTTCGTAATTAATCCGTTCCTGGAGCCGTTACTATAAACGAAATTTACGATTTACGAATCAATTTTCCCCATAAGAAATAAATAACAAAAAGGCACAATACCGTGACTGGAACGATACACAAATAACCCGCACATAAAAGACAGAAGCTTACGACGACGTTTCGGTCCGACTTGGACCATTGACAAAGTCACACTGACTTTGTCAATGGTCCAAGTCGGACCGAAACGTCGTCGTAAGCTTCTGTCTTTTATGTGCGGGTTATTTGTGTATATTCCCCATAAGAAATAATGTAAATACAATTAATCCGTTCCTGACACCCAGAAGTATTAAAACAAAATTTTTTTACATGAAATATAGATGTAGTACATAAACAATACAATGGGAAATGATGAATGAAACATTAACAGCATAACACTTACCTTTATTGGAGATTCTTCTTAGTGTATGGGAGACTGGAGGAGGAGAGAGAGTGGATTGTTTATAGTTTGGAAAGGGATCCCCTTCCATCAACACCTCAGGTACCATTTGCTTTTCTGGGGTTGCTTCTCTTCTCTGTTTGTTAATGCCACTAGGACCACCTTGAGAGTCACTGGAGTCCTGTCTCACAAAACTGTGGAGAGAGCTCTGTTTCTGGCGTCTCTTTAACACTTCCCTAAAATGGCCCAAGACTTTTGTCACTGTACATGTTGCCAACCTGGCTTGCAACAACCTTGTTAGGGTGATGTTTCTCCATAAAGCTTTCCATCTTACCCCACATAGTAAAAATCTCTAATTTCTGAAGAAGGCACCTTCTTCCATCTCTCTTCCTCCTCCTCTGCAGCAAGATTCTGAGCTGCGATGTGTTGCTCTTCCTGCTGAAGCTCTTGCAGCTCCTCAGTGGTGAGCTCTTCATTGTGGTCTTCCACCAATTCTTCCACATCCTCCAAACTCACATCCAACCCCATGGAACTCCCCAGTGCCACAATTGATTTTACAACAGACATAGGCTCATTAGGGTCAGTCCCAAATTCTTCAAAATCCCTCTTGTCGACACAATCTGGCCACAATTTTCTCCAGGCAGAGTTCAAAGTCCTGGTAGTCACTCCCTCCCAAGCCATACTTTAAGGGTTATGCAGTGGAGGATGCTGAAGTGTTCTCTCCAAAATTCCCTTAGGGTCAAGTGAGTGTCTGTGGTCACAGTCAAGCACCTGTGAAACATTGCTTTTGTGTAGAGTTTTTTAAAGTTTGCAATAACCTGCTGGTCCATGGGTTGGAGGAGAGGAGTGGTATTCGGGGGCAAGAACTTTACTGTGATAACCCAAACTCCTCGAAAATTAGGTCATCCAAGTTTGGAGGATGAGCAGGTGCATTGTCCATTACTAGCAGGCACTTGAGATCCAATTTCTTTTCCCGGAGATACTCCTTCACGCTAGGGCCAAACACTTCATTGAACCACTCGACGAAAATTTCCCTCGTGACCCATGCCTTACTATTAGATTTCCAAAACACACACAATTAACTCTTCATAACATTGTTTTTCCTGAACACTCTGGGATTTTCAGAATGGTACACTAGTAATGGCTTCACTTTGAAATCCCCACTAGCATTAGCACAGAACATTAGCGTCAGCCTGTCTTTCATAGGCTTGTGTCCTGGCATTGCCTTTTCCTCTTGTGTAATGAAGGTCCTCTTTGGCATTTTCTTCCAAAGAGGCCTGTTTCGTCACAATTGAATACTTGTTCAGGTTTCAGTCCTTCAGCCTCTATGTACTCCTGGAATTCATGCACATATTTTTCAGCTGCCTTGTGGTCCGAACTGGCAGCCTCACCATGCCTTACCACACTGTGTATGCCAGTACAGTTCTTAAATCTCTCAAACCAGCCTTTGCTGGCCTTAAATTCACTTCACCACTACTTGCAGGCAATTTCTTTACCAAATCTTCATGCAACTGCCTAGCCTTTTCACAAATAAACGAAGCCATAAGAGTATCTCCTGCTAATTGTTTCTCATTTATCCACACCAATAATAACTTCTCAACCTCTTCCAGTATGGTGATCTGATTTTTGTCAGCATAGTTTACTCCTTTGCAACACAGCATCCTTTATTTCATTTTTCTTGGCCACTATGGAACATAAGGTTGTGTAGGGTTTCTTATACATCCTGGACAGTTCGGCCACACTTGTACCACTTTCATGTTGTTCAATGATGGTTTTCTTAAATTCAATCGTATTTCTCACCTTCTTTACCACAGGCTTGGCACTAGGAGCTTTCTTTGGAGCCATGGTAGCTTATTTAGTACTTGCAAGCACTAAAATAAATGGAATATTATGAAATATTTCGCTGGAACACGTGAGGGGACCTTCGCTCACTGGTAAACAATGCCAGACTGGCTACCGCCCTGGTTCACGCCGTGGGTACGTGTCCCGGACGAACTACGACTCGCGAGTCAACCTATGAAAATTATACGAAAATACCTCTATGACTGACGAATTTTACGATTGCTGGGAACTACGAAAAGCGGGGGACCACTGTACTTGAATTCTTA